GGAACAGCGTCATCGATAACTGAAGCTCGTGTCCTCACCATCTGTGAGAGAATAGAATGGTAAAACTCAAACTCCGAGATCAATAAACTCACACGATAGGAATGAAGAAAGTGAAACTGTCCTAATAGTTCCGTAGCCTCTCGAAGATAAGTACAAACGTCTCTGTACCGATCCGTAAGACTACTAAACTCGCTTATGACTCGTAGCACCTATGAACCTAGAGCTCTGATACCAACTTGTCACGACCCAAATCTCCCTCTGTAGGATGTCGTGATAGCACCTAGTCTTAGAGACTAGGTAAGCCTAAAGATTACCGAAATAATATGCAGAAGTATAGTATGAGTACATCACAGTCGGTACCCAATAAGTATTAAGACTAACCTCCGTGGAGTAGTGACGAGGTACAATCAAGATACTCACTAGTCAAATAACCTGTGCAATATAACATACAAAAATAATATGAAACAAATAGCAGTGGTAGCAATAATAATCAACTAGTGATGTAAACAGCAAGGCAACAAGAACAACATAATTATTACTCAGACGAATAAGAAACACAAGTACAACCAATTAAACAAGTCCTTCAAATATAAATCTTCAAATAAGTATCCTTCGAATATAAAAATCTTTCAAATAAATATCTTATATCATAATCATAGAATATGGTTCTCAGCCCCCTTTGATATTCTCACGGCACCTCGTACCCATATCTATATCATAACCGCACGGACAACTCTCGTGCTAAATATGTCAAAACATAAAATTTGCACGATTAATTTATTTCCAATAAAGTAAGGTTACAATTTTAAACCAAGTAAGAATTCAACAAAGAAATGAGTTTATTTTAGAAATAGTTTGAGTGAATAAAATGACATTTCAATTTAAATAAATATCAGATAAGCTGCTGATTTGGATGTAAAACTTATTATATTAAGACATAATGGCAATTTCTTTTATTTAAAACAACTCAATTATCGAGAACAAGTACATACCAGAAATACAAATACTCAGAGTCTCATACGAAAAAGTCAAAGCCAATACAATACTACAAGAAATACAAAAACACTTAATATTGAGTCAAATAATACATCACAGAGAACATAGAAATTTATATATTATGGAAAAATAAAATAACCAAAGGCAAGTGCAGCCATAGAGAAATATCAATAAAAGGGCACACACGAGGTACCTCCTCGCAGTCCCAACACAAATATAAACAACAACAATGTCCCCAAGCCGTTACAAGACATCACAAATCAATCCCCGACATAGTTCACCTTGTCTAGCCATGTGCGCAATAATAAAGTAAATGCCTGTCTTGTCTCGCCGCACGTGCATAAAAATATTCCCACCTTGTCTCGCCACATGCGCAAACCCACATATATAGCCCGTCTTGTCACGCCACATGTGCATATATCAATAGTAACAAAAGCAGGGCAGAAACCTCGCGCAACCACCCGAACTAACCTCTCAACAATATCACGTGCCAATATCACAACATCTCATAAATTGCACCTCAAGTGCTCAAATATTACAACATATCACAAATTGCACATCAAGTGCTCAAATGTTACAACTTGCCACGAAAATCAACATTACATTATTTTTCATAATAAGGAGCCAATGGCTCGACCATAATGGGCACAAAAACCTAACAAAATATCCGGGAGTGAACAACTCCACAGAATAATATTTCACATTTTAACACTGAATATGATCACGACAACACAATACAATAATTCATATCACAATTTTCTCATAGGCCACAACCAATCCCAAAGATATAACAAAATCAATAAATTTCTCAACAAATAGCCCAAGACTCCACACAACATATTTAAAACCTTAAAACAACAACAGAGATGGAAAAGTAACCCAGCATAGGACAAGGCCTTCTTTATTCCAAATACTCAATGATAATCTAGTATTATTGACTAACAATGATCACAAGTGACTTACCTCAAGTTTTTCCGTGAATTCTCTTTGAAACATTGCCCAAAATCATGTGTTTAAATACCAAAATGGCAAAAATATCGGACCCTTCTGTTTTTGTAGCATGTCCAGTGTTTTCGCTTCTGCGGAACATTTAATCGCATCTGCAGTTCCACTTTTGCGGAATACCTACCGCTCCTGCGGTTTGCCAAGGTCCCTCTACCTCCCACTTCTGCGATTAAACGACTGCTTCTGCGGACTCGTTTCTGCGAGAAGCAGTTCGCTTCTGCGATCCCTCGTGAGCATTTGCGGTCACGCAGATGCGGAATTTTCCTCCGTACCCGCGGCTACTGTTCCACTCTCCCTTTTTCGCTTCTGCGCTCCTATTCTCGCTTTTGCGAGATCGCACCTACGAGCCATTTCCGCTGGTGCGGTTGCATCGGATGACAGAAGGTTTCCACCTTTGTTCTAAGTCTAAATTTCTATCCGTTAACCATTCGAAACTCATCCGAGGCCCCCGGGACCTCAACCAACTACACCAACAAGTCCTAAAACATCATACGAACTTAGTCGAAACTTCAAATCATATCAAATAATGCTAAAACCACGAATCATACCCCGATCCAAGTTTAATGAAACTAAGAAATTTCAACTTCTATATTCGATGCCGAAACCTATTAAATCAAGTCCGATTGACCTCAAATTTTGCACACAAGTCATAAATGACATAACAGACTCCCCGGTATCAAAAAGTCAACTCCTCGGTCAAACCTTAAGTTTTTATTTTAGTCATTTCAAGCCTAATTGAACTATGTAGTTTCAAATAATTTTTCGGACATGCTCCTAAGTCCAAAATCACCATACGGAGTTATTGGAATCATCGAAACTCTATTCTGGGGACATTTACAAATAAGTCAACTCCGGTTAACTCTTTTTGTTTAACCTTCAAAAATAAGAATTGTTCTTTCAATTAAATTCTGAATCTTCCGAAAACCAAACTCGACCATACCCGCAAGTCATAATACACATCACAAAGCTGCTTGTGACTTTAAGTCGTTAAACGAGACGTTAATTCTTAAAATGACAAGTCGGGTTATTACATCGGTCCTTATTCACCCGTGGAGATAAGTTTAGATCAGGCCAAACTCTTTCACCAGAAACCTGTTCAGCTAAAACTACTCCAAAATAACCACCCGATGATTGAGGGATATTTCTACTTTGCAAAACCTCATTATTGTGAACGTCTTCCGCCTTGACATACATTTCCAAGTCGCACCCTCCTTAAAAGGAGGAAAAAGACGAGAAAATTTAGGGTGGTTTTTGAAAAGCTAATTATTAAAGAAGTCGTCGGAAAAAAAATTGAGAAAAGTTGTATGTGTGGATTAATTCAGATTTTTTGTTTCAAAAGCACTGCTTGTTTTTGGATAGAGATATAATTTCGGGAAATCAAAATTTGCTTTTTCCAACTAAACAAAATTGATTTTTAGTTTCAAAAATATGTTTTTGAATCTTTTTCCTAAAATAAATAGTTAATTCGTGTAACTCACAAATTGAGAAATACAAATCTACCATGCTCCTAGTTAACGGATGTAAAATATCTTTAAAAAATTAACTTCCTATAAAAAAATTATATTTAGCCTTTGATTAACACTGGAATTTTATTAAAACATCAAATTGCTGAAACGGAAGATCTAATATAAACAAAGTAATTAAATTTGGATGTCATTTAATCTTTTGTCTAAATTAAGCATAATTAATTAGTCACGGCGTTTAGTGTTTGTTGATCATGAAATTCTTGCCAAATATTTATTTATTTTTTACTGATAAAATCAGAAATTAATTTTTTAAATTATTTAATTTTGACTCATAAAACTAATTTGAGCTACATACAACAATAACAACAACGTACTCAGTCTAGAGATGATAGTATATTCACCGTCTTTATACCTACTTTGTGAAAGTAAGAAATGTTTCCAGATTTGAGCTTACAACTTACATAGTGTATTGATATTTGCTGTAACTCTATCTGATATTCAATAAAAGGAAACAAAAATGTTTGGCTTCGTCATTTTAAGCCTGATCCAGGCCCACATATTTCTCCTAGAATGGGGGTGATAGAAGAAAATTTTATGTAAAAATATACGTCATATTGGTTAAGGAGACAAAATGAAGGTGGAACAAGAAATTTATATTGCAATATGAAAAAGATGGACAATAAGAAAGGGATGGGGAAACTTATATTGTAATTGTTACGATAACTTCTATTATGTTGGATATGATTTATGTCTTCAATTTTTTCGACTTCAGAAAACTATTGTAGTTCTTAATTACTCTGTCTAAACATGCAGGCCAATCGTGTATGACAGTGTCATGAGCTGTAAGCCAGAGCAGCATAATTATACTGCATATGTAAGTTAAAATGATAAGTTATTTACGGGGTAAAGTTCTGCCTATTTTATTTATCAAAATTAAATAAAGACTACCATGTGTGGTTTATTTAATTCTTTTTCATTCTAAAGAATTTTCTAATAAAATAAATCTTAAAACTTAAATTTTGTGTAGAAAAAAACAACTAACCTTAAAAGCAATATTTTAATTAAATGTTATTTCTTAAATAAATTTTATAATTTAAAAATCAAGCCCTACAAAAATTTATTCAACAAAAGCGCTCTACAAACTACAAACTTTCTCGACTCTCTCATACTTTTGGTTTTATGTTTACTTTTATCAGTAAATTTTCTAACATTGTCTTTTTGTTATTTTAATTTTAATTTATAAAATTATAGTTCTATTAAAAGTTTTTTTTATGGTTTAGCTAAATATTGCGTAGTTTGATTTAAAAAATTGATACATTATTCATGGACAAAAAAAATATTGAGTTGTTTAAAATTTGAACACCCTTGACGGTATTCCTAGTTATGTCACTGAGCATATGCGTACTAGATGTATAACCTCGACAGTGTATTATATCCAGGAGCGAAGCCACCTTTTGCTAAGGGTGGTAAATTCGTCAGAAATATTACGAAAAATTACATTGTATATATAAGTAAATTATTAGATTTTAGATGTATATAACATATATTGAACACCTTTTATTAGAATATTTTTTTACTTTTTTCAAGGCTGAACACCCTTAGGAAATATTCTGGCTTTGCTACTGATTACATCATAACGTTAGGGGAGAATAATTCAATTCTCTTTTATGTAAAAGCTAAGTATTTATGAATGCATAATGTATACAAATGTTTAATCGCAGTTACAAACTTTGTCTTATTTTCGAGAGTAATTACCATATCGATTAGGTTGAAACTCCTCGAAAAGGAGCTCTAAATAATTACTTGCTTAGGCTTCATGGATAGGAACTAATGGCATTTTTCCTCCATAAATCTCTGGCAGCTGACTTTCATCAATGTCTTGAAGTAGAGTTGTCATTAGTCGTTTGTTTTCCACAAACATGATCTGATGAGAGGAAGGATAAAAATTAATTTTGTAAAGATAATTAATCTAATACAAGGTTTAACCAGGGGCGGCTCAACGGTATCCGGGGCCTAAAGCTAAACTTCAACGAGGGGGACTAAGTTTTTTCATATTTAAAAACTCATTTAATAAATTTTTATTTTAAAGTTAATTTTTCTAGCTTTTTGAGATGTAATTTTTAATAATTTATTTATAATCGATTTCTTAATTTTATTTATAATCGATTTTTTAACTAGGATTATATATATTTCTACTTTCTAGGATTATTATTCAATTCTTTTAGGATTTCCTAATTTTCTAAAAGATCTTTGTTAAACTCTTACCAACTTCTTCTTCTTCTTGGATTTCATTCTCTTCTACCTCAATTATATTAGTGATTTGTTTATCTACCATAAATTCTTCCTATTTTTGGGGACTGTATTAAAGTTTCAATTCTTCTCTCCTTTTTTGGTATTTTTAATATGGGGATTCATATTTTCTTGTTGACATATTAAAATTTTAATAAATTTAAAAAGGTAATGCATATACTTACAAACAAAAGATATATATAAAAAAAATTAGATGCAAAGTAATAAGAAAAGTATAGAACAATTGAACCTGGTTTAACAAATAGTCATGGATAACTTGATATATTACTTTTGCTGTTTCAATATTTTTGGTGCAATTCCGAGAAAGCTTGACAAAAAAAAAGTTCGCAATTGCTTTCTACTATCATATTTGACAGAATATTTTATGAGACTGTGGACTTATAAGTTTGAAAAGGAATATAAAAGATTAAGTAAAAACCAGTTTAAAGAGAAAGTAATAAAATTAACGTGGGTCATGCGATAATAATGATAATATATAAAGGATGCAAAATAAATATTCACACGTAAGTAACTATTGTTATTCCCAAATTATCTCTATTGGTCTCATAGTTCCCTTATTTATGAAAAATATACTTTTTTTATATACTAAATATTTTTTTAAAAATTTATCAAATACAAATACAACTATTTAATACAGTATCAGAAAATTTTGGGCCCCTAGATGTGGGGGTGCTTTACCATTGAGCCGCCCCTGGGTTTAACCAATAGCTTAACTGCAGCTTGACTAAATTCTAGCATTGTTTCATCAAACCTTAGTAGAGTCTCACCTTCTTTTTGGTCTTGTTATCAATAAAAGGAGACACAATTTTCCACAATGTCCAGAATAGGTAAGGAATTTTAACTCCAAGTATCTTTTCAAGTCTTTCAGGGTAGCAGTCCTGCAATTAATAGTATAGTAAACTTCAAGATTATGGACTAGAATACGGTGAGCCGTTTTCCCATGACAATTACAGAGGAAAAAAATTATAAGGATTTCATATATATATATATATTTGCAGTGTCAAGTACTTTTACGCTATAAATGTTTTGATTTTTATTAGATAAGCTACCTTGTTTTTCAGGTTACTAATTCATATGAGCTTACAATTGTCCGTATATAGAAGTTAAACTCAACGAAAATAGATAATTAAACCTGTAAAATGGATAGAGCCCAAATGTATGCACGAGCATCGCTGTTGGCATAGCCAAAACCTTGGAGATCCACAATTACCACAAACTTTTCCCTACCTGGTGAGGTCCTGATTAATCAAGAAAATCCCAAAATAAAAATAATTACTGTATTAAGGCTGCATGATCTCGACTGCTTCTTTGAAAAGGCAAATTTGCCAAGTGAGAATATTATATTAATTAATTAGATAGTGTACCTTGAACACAGTTTGTCTAAAGCCAAGACCACAAATCCTGTAAATGAAAACAAAGTCTTGACTATAAATTAAGTAGCAGGCCAAGTACGTAGAACGGAATAAAGAGAAAGAAAACAAAAATCATACGTTTTAACTCGTCAAGACCACCTAGTTTATTCTGAAAATGTCTGCTACCTAAAATGACAGCAATAGGGCGTCCTTGTTTGTCCACTCCTTGCAAGAACATTTTGTTGTGTGCTATCTCATTTGGAGCCTCACTCGCTGAAATAGAACCATTTGGTGCAATGTGTTTCTTCCATTTAAGGCATTTCAACAACATTGCCGAAGCTTTGTCCACGTCCAGATCCATAGCATGAAGAAACCTTCTTATCTCAAAATCATCTACTTCCTGAAAACAATTGACGGAAAAAAAAAAATGAATTACAAAATGGATTTTGAACCTAACTCAATCCAAAAATTAGCTTATGAAGTGAGGATGGTTCAAAACCATATAAGGAGTTTTCAATTAATGTTGGCCAGAAAGGTACATCAATTGCATGAACAATATAACATAGGAGCTCAACATGGAATAAATCAAGAATACTGATGGGTCTAACTCTAACCAGAAGCGGATGTAGAGTGGTGGTACAAAATTCACCTGAACCCAGTACTTTCGACGCGAAACATAAATTTATGTATAAAAATTTATTATAATTGCAAAATTTATAGTTATGAACTCATAATTTAAACATACTAACGCTAAGAAACTTAAATATTGAACTCATCGAATTTAAATTCTGAATCTACCTCTAACATAGTAATTTAGAAAAATAAACATTACGCCAAATACATGCGCAAACGCCTGCTCCTAAGGTGAATATTTCCAAGACCCACAACATCTCATTCCTTTAAATAAAAGCGGTACACTTAAAAACCTCTTGCACTTGATCATTTTAACATAGAAAAATCTTGATGTTTTACTTGTAAACGGAAGGAAGAGAACTAATAAAGAGTGAGTCCTTGCTTTTCACTTTGCTTAATAGTAATATTCTTTTATTAATCTGTTTAAAAATTGATAAATTTTTATATTTCCTTAATAAAAAGCTTTTACAACATACAAATATTATTATAACTATAAATTTCAAAAGTCTTACTATAATTATACAAATGTTAACGACATGTTTAAGATTATAAATGTTAAAGTCTTTTTTTTAAAAATATTTATATCGAGTCAAACGAATTGAGAGAGAATACTATTCAATTACCTTGGATGAAGGATCTTGCTTTTCGACAAGAGCTCTCATAAGGCGAATCTTGTTCTTCTCTTCTTCACTGATTTTGTCATCGCATTGTACTTGGATATCCTGTGTTACTGATTCTTCTTCCTGCTGCAATTTTGTTTCAAAATGAATTCCATTATTGTTTAACTCCTTTGATACTGCCTTAACCTTTCCCTCCATCACTTTCTTTCTTGCACCAATAACAAAGTGATCTGCCTCAATTCATGGCTAACTTGGAGGAGGAATTTAAAAGGAGGAATATGGGGAGGCTAGAAAAATTAAGACTAATTAAGACTTTGCTGGAACCAGTAATAGCAATATGTTTGGTCAAATTTCTAATATCAACTTATTTTGAAACGAATTTTTTTTTGTAAAGTGTTTTTCAAAATAATACTTTTGGTGGAAATCAATCTGTATTTGACTAATTAATCTTAAAAGAACTTTTGAGCAACAATTAATATATGACTAATCTTTTAAAAAGTGCTTCTATATTTTTTTTTTAAAAGTACTTTTTAAAAATATTTTTTTTTTTTTCAAAAGAAACTACTTTTTTCTATTTATTAGAAACTGCTTTCTTCTCAAAAGTATTTTTGGCAACAACAAAAGAAAGTCAAACACGCTATTATCAAATGGGACCGCAGTAAATGTAATTGAGTATCTATATACTTGTATTCTAGCTCGTATGGCATCCGAATATTATATGTTGTATATGATAGGATTTCTCTATCCTGTTAGAGAATGCAAAAAATTCTGATAGGAGGTACAAATCCGAATTAATTGGTTTTGGATACCATATGATGGTAAAAAAAATAAAAAAATCATGCTAGATAAAGGTAGAACTGCAATTTAAGTGCACTATATATATATATATATTATTTTATTTTTATTTTTTTTGGGTATGTACGTGTTTGTTTTCGTGTGTTAACTCATCCAACCTAACTTAAAATTGAGGATATTTGATATGTTCTTGGAAGAAAGATGTTGCTTTTCAACTCGAGCTCTCATCCACATGTTATATGTTAGATCAGATCTGCCTCTAATATTAATGCAATTGGAAACCATATATAAGCAGAGGCGCAGCCAGGATTTCAATCTTATGAGTTTTGAATTTTGAAACTACGATTTCAAGTGTTAATGATTGAGTTCTAAATTTAATATTATACATATTTTATGAATTCAAAATACTAAATACACTGTTTGAACAAAATTTACTGGGTTCGGCCGAACTCATAGGTCAGCTTGTGCCTCTGTCCCTGTATATAAGTCTATCCTGGAAAGATATATCGTACAAATATAGGGTTGGCTGGGAAGTGAGAGTTCACCTACTTACCTAACTCATACTAGTAGCTTTAACTAAAGAGTCTAAGACCACTTCGTCGAACCTCTTTTTGCATTCAATGTTCATGTTCTATGGTGTTGTATCTAAGGCCTATGAGTGTAAATATATTCAAAAGAGTAATCATGATAATTTTGATCTGTTTTCTATAGATCTAACGTAGATCACAACCAAGTCGCACCCTCCCTAAAAGGAGGAAAAAGAAAAGAAAATTTAGGAGAGTTTTTGAAAAGCTAATTATTCAAGAAGTCTTCGGGGAAAAAAATTGAGAAAACTTGTGTGTCAGGATTAATTCTGATTTTTTGCTTCAAAAGCATTGCTTGTTTTTGGATAGAGATCTAATTTCGGGAAATCAAATTTTGCTTTTTCTAACTAAACAAAATTGATTTTTTTTTAGTTTCAAAAAATGTTTTTGAATCTTTTTCCTAAAATAAATAGTTAATTCGTGTAACTCAGAAGTTGAGAAATACAAATCTACCATGCTCCTAGTTAACGGATGTAAATGTCTTTAAAAAATTATTTTCCTACAAAAATAATTATATTTAGCCTTTGATTAACACTGGAATTTTATTAAAACATCAAATTGCTGAAACGAAAAAACTAACATCTATAATATAAACAAAATAAGTTTCCGTTCTCATGACTAACTGAAGGCTGTCAAGGCACCCAACTATCTTCTACTCCTATTACATTAATACCTTACTGAACCACAAATAATGGTTTTAAAATATCTTATAGTATTACATTGCAAAATGAGAAGAAAAAAAAAGTAATAAATGGTAAAAGGGTAAAAACATACTCGCATCCATTATTTACACCACACCAATAAATACATATACATGACATTTATTTCCTAGCACAAGGCATCCAAGGAGATGGCAGAAAGAACACAACGTATGGAGATTTTCTGGCCAATATGGGAAAGTAGTTGAAGACGGATTCTCTTGGCAAGAATGGGAGCACGTAGCCGCACGTTGAGGCAAGTAAACCAATTTGGTAAAAGAGAAAGAATGAAGTTGGAGAATACAAGAAAGGAAAGCCCTTTGTTTATGGATAATTTGGCTAGTTTCTGTCATGTTAAAGGCACCAGGCTTTAACTTTCCATTTCAAGTTCCAAATTACCAGAAAAAGAAGCAAAATTAGAAAAAGAAAGACAAAAAAGAACAAACAAAGGACACAAAGTTAGAAAGAAAATCAAAAGGAGAACACATCATGTGCACTTAATGGCAGTTAGCTTACTGTTGGCCAGTAGAGGAAAGCAATTAATGCGATCACAATGTCGATACAATCAAATCTGCCTAGTGTAAAAAAATTATATCATTTGAAAAAGGCAAAAGGGTCAAATATACCCCCATCTACTATCGAATATTGTCTACGTTTAACCTCTGTTATACTATCCAACCAAATTTACCCCTACCATTATACTATCTGGCCAAATTTACCCCTATCATCAGCAAACATTTAAAAATTACCTCTTGATCTGTTAAGTAATCCAAAATCTCCTAAATTCATTTTATTTAAATCACTTGTTGTTTTTCTTGCTCCATTATTTTCAGAAATTTTCATTGATGTAAATGCTAAAGTTACTAGACTATACAAATTATTCATAATTTTTTTTAATTACCAATGCACCCACTTCTCTTCTTGTAATAATGAGTTTGGAATTGGTTTAAAATTTTATTTACTTTTTCAATCATATACATACCGTAGAATTCAGTGGGTTTATTTATTGTGTATTATATGCAGCTGATTATCATGTATGTACATGTATATTCAAATATATTTTGTCATTGCATGATTAGTATAGAGTTCGATCGACTAACTTAAGAGTGCACAATGTGTAGGCATTTGATTAAAGCAAAGTGGAATTCGACAATGTAAAGTCTCTGAGGAATTTCAACTTCAATCACTAATACTTGCAAAGTCTTCATACATTTGGTGCAACAAATTCATTAAATTGGGGATGTTATAAATACTTTTAGAATTTAGAAAAGTTACCTAATTTAGATTTTTCAATTTACTATACTTTGTTTATTAACAGTTGTATTATTTAATATATTTTTTTCTCTCTTTTTTTTTTTTTCCAATTCAGAAAGCAGGTAAATGCCAATTATTTCGAAAATAGTGGACCAAAAAGAAGAATCGGTAACTTAATTAAAATGATTTGGGAGATTCCGGGTCATCTAACGGACTGAGGGGTAATTTTTTAAAGTTTACTGATTGTAGGGGTAAATTTGACCCGATAGTATAACGATAGGAGTAAATTTGACCCGATAGTATAATGAATGTTAAATGTAGACAATATCTGAAAGCAAAGGAATATATTTGACTCTTTTCCCTTTGAAAAATAACTACAAGTAACCGTCAAGAAAGAATGAGATTAATAATCTAGTTATTTGCTCCAAAAGGTTAAATTACACTATAAAAAAAAAAGATTTAGTTTTTTTTTAGTGGCAGGCAGTAGCAAAACTAGAAATTTCTCTAAGGGTGTTCAGACTTGAAAGAAGTAAAAAAAATTCCAATAAAGAATGTTCAATATATGTTATATACATCTAAAATCTAATATTTTACGTATATACACAATATAATTTTTCATAATATTTTAACGAAGGGTGGTCAATTGACTACTCTTAGCAAAAAGGGGCTTCGCCCCTGGTGGCACGGTTTCGGGATCACAAGCAAGTTCTGGCATATGTAGATTAAGGTATACATAGCATAATCATCAACGGATATAATGCAGCATGGGATTTTTTGGATTCTTTGGCCAGTTAAGGTTTCAAGTCGAGTGAGTGTTACAAAGGCCAGAATGGATAACATTGACAATCGTCATAACTAGACCATCTCACAAGCAAAAGCTCAGTTCCAGATCAAAGTAGTGCCACAACAATTCAGTGCTCAAGTTTGATCAAAGAAGGCATTTGATGCAAAAAACAAGCTGAAGCAGTAAATTAGCTCCCAACTTTCAAGAAACTGTTCGCCTTAGAAGAAGATTATTGAAACACCCATTGTCAAGCAGCCCACAGCCACCCAAGGACTCAACCGCTCACCTGCCACATCAAAGCACACTATATTAGTAACATCTTGTCAAATCTAAGCATTCTAGCCATATGAAAGCACAAAAGATTTACTTGCTATGCTACAATGAACAAATGATTTCCCTGTTTTCTGTTATTTGCTCTCTAAACAAACAACCCTTCTTTTTCCTCGGATAGATAGCAAGGTATTTGCAATATTGTATACTCTTTAATTTCAAAAAAAAAAATTTGCTCTACTTACATATACTGTCAAAGTTTAGGTAAGGGATAGAAGTTCAAGATAACTTCTATTTTATTGAAAATGTGATGAACATTTTATAAAAGAATATCATCCAGAGAGTGCAATGGATGAGTAGCACAACAATCTGCAATATGCATCTCAGCGCACTAGTCAAATGTGAAAAGAACGGAGGAAATTAATTATCCTATCTAGTTTATCTAGATTTCCTTTTTACATCAAAAGAATAAGAGAGCTAAACATCTGACCTTTAAGTTACAAATAGTTTCCTTTTTGCCTTTAAAGTATCTCTTACTTCGCTCATTCGGCCAGTAGATCTTGTGTCTGCCTTCTGACTTTTGAAAAAGGTGGCCATTCAGAAGATGTTATGAAAAAGCTTCCGGAAAGAAGTAGGAGCGAAAGGAAACAGGAACCTCCATGAAGACAATTAAGGTGCACAAATGACATGTGGTCAGGTGGATGAAGCTTCTAAAAATTTTGATCAAAGATGAGGCTGATAAAACATTATCAATCAGCCAAGTGACAGAGAACACCCTAAAATATCAATTCCTGTCAAAATGATGCATATACGAGAAATAATTCTTAGCCATGTTGTGCAATAGTATCCATTCATTGGATGTCTAATCTTTAAGTTTCAAATGTAGGTTCTCTCAAGCAGCAATTCTGCATTAGTCCACAGCCCATATTCGCTTCCATTTTTAATGGGACTACGTGCAAGCAATTCAGTTGAAGAGAGATACATGCAGTGTTTAGGGGTGGATATTTGCGCCCAAACCCATTTAACCCGTCCCGAGTGTAACGGGTTGGGCAAGAAACATTTCAACTCGTGGGTTTATTTGGGTTGTGGCCAAGTTAAGCCATCACTTTTTCGCAGCCCATTCTGACCCGCGAAGAGGCCAAATTTCAACCCGTGTAGCTCCCCTAAATAAAGAGGCCCCAACACAGCTGAAGATTGCTTGCGTGGAAATTTATTCAGCTGCCCAATCGTTAGAATTACTTTTTTATACAAGTACCAAAAAGGCAAAAACATGAGAAGTTTGTGTTACTTTCCGTTCGATAAAGTTCTCTTCGAATTAATCTAGCAAAAATGATTCCTCTGTATTTTTTATCTTTAAAAAAAGACATGCAAGAGAATACTAACATTTTAATGCATTTTCTCGTAATAAACATTATCTTTATTTTCAAACTTGTATTCAATTTGTTACTGCTCGTAGAAATAAAGTTTGACCAAGTTTTGAAAATTAAAAATAAAGAAGAAAATGTGTTAATTACAATAACAATCCATCTAAATAGAGAAAGCTTGAAAAATATCTATCAGGTTTTAAGAAGTTATAAACGCTCTGAATAGTTTAGTAAAAATTAATTCACGTGATTGTTGTATATATATATATATATATATATATATATATATTGATAATCATCGCCAGTGCATGAAATGAAAGAATTATGAAAAACAATTATAAGGAAGTTGCAAAATTAGAGAATATAGGTGTATAAGTAAATAGGTTTCTTTATACTAGATGGAGTGTGGTTCTAATTGTAGAAAGATGGGTCAAGTTGGACGGGCTGGGCTATGACCCATTGTTTAGCCCATCTTAGCCCGAGTAAACTTTGGGCTAGGTAGGGCAATGATCATTTATTGATTCGGCCCATGTTGGCCTGCCCATATTCAGCCCAACCCCCTCATTTGCCACCCTAGCGGTGTTATTAATCACCAAACCAAGAAAACTTCAATTACGTAAGAAAAGTTAGTAATCAAGGCAGCATAATAGAAGGAAAAAAAAAACAGATAGTAAATTAGAGCTCTACCAACAATACCAGCATGATAGGAAATAACTTTACCTATTCTAGCAGCCTTCCAAAAGAAGCCTCGGAACCTGCCATATGTAGTATCTAATTAGGAAGCGAAAAGGAGAATACAAGATAAAACATTGATCACTTCCAAACTGTCAAATGAGGCTATAGGAGAAAAGCTTATTGATTGGTCCACCATTCACGATTAAGGTTGTAGCCCATAAAAAGCCAAGAGAACATAGTAGATCCAAAAAAAATGCACTTCTATCATTTTCCAGAATTGTAGCATTTATATTCTATAAGAAACACTAAATTATCAAAGAGAAAAATTTCGAGTGAAATGTCATTCTACCAAGTGAAACCACGGTTTTCACGAAAAGTATACCAGACTAAATCCAGAACAGTTGAATCTTCGCCATAATGCAAACAAAAAAGAAAAGGCAGCCCTGTGCATAAAGCATCCCGCATTCACGCAGGGTACAGGAAAGGGCCGCACCCCAAGGGGTGTGATGTAGACAGTCTACTCTAATGCAAGCATTAGTGGTGTCCTTACCATAATGTATATACATAAAATAAAACAAAAAATAGGAAAAATGTGTCCTCACATGAAACAACAGTAGAAATGTTGAGCCTAAGTACATACACCATGTCAAAACCTACAGCTTTTAAGAGGTTTGTTCGTAAATGAAGAAGTAAAAATGAGGGCCACAAATATTTTCTTGCATGTGAAATATCGCAACAGCCTATCCAAAACATTGAAGGGGATGTTCCGTAGAAATATTTTGTGCTGACATGTATGTGCCCCTTTCACTACCACCTTCACTTCATGGCAGATTTCCTCCATCCTTTACCGGTCTCTCCTGTCCCCTCCCACCACCCATCTAATAATGGAGATTGGGGCAAGTGACAGAGGAGAAAGGAGGGAAGGTGGCTAAATGGTTGTTGCGGCCCACATGCACCAAGTTAGAGAACAAGATTGCCAGTTCAAAGCAATAAAGGGAGCATAATCCAGAAATGTACCAGAACAAGAAGATCTTCTCAAACCATAAATCTAAGGAATACGACAACACCACTAACAACAACAACAACTGCTACACCACAGTCCCAAACAACCATAAATCTAAAGGAAAGAGAAAATAAAAGAACCAATATCATACAAGCGGAAGAAATAATGACGGCAGCACTATATGGATATCAAGTTTAAACGTAGGTAAGATTGACATCAATAGCATATCCTGTCACCTGAGCTATAGACACCCACTACTTAATAACTTCTCAAGAAAATTGTAGTTAAAATTTCATGGAGACTTACCCAGTTCTCTGTTCAAGAAGAGCTGGAAAATGCATCTTCACGTAAGTGCATGTACAAATCCATAACAGCACTACCGTCAAAAAGGAATGGAAATTAAAGAGCGCTGACTGAAAATACCAATACAAAAGTATTAGTGTCTATTTACACATCCAATAACAGAATTCGCATTCCAATGCAACTCACCATATCTGAACTTTTCCTGTCTTAATCGGTTTTCGCTTCCACCAACTCTACAAAGTAAAGAAACATCAGTTAGATTCCCCTCACACAAAAGGGAATACAATGCAATTGAGAAAATGGTAGTAATTCCTCGTTTTATTTTTGAATCATTCAGCACAACAACCTCATATTGATGAAACAAATTAATACTATAGGAAGCCAGTGAACAACTTTCCGACCACATTTGGGAAATGTATATTTCAAAATTGAAGTGTTAACTACACTTTGACATCATTCATAGAGTGGCCTTACAAATAAACTACAAAATAAACAATGTAAGAGAAGCACAAATCAATAACATCTCTATCTTATTACGAATTACCCCTGTGAAATCAATAACATGTGCGAATGGACTCCAACAAAATTTAACTCACTTTTGAACCTCCAAATTCAACCCAATTTTGTGTTCCAACCAATAATTCTCCTTATTAAAGAACTTCTCTTTTTCTCAAGAGAACAAACACAACCCAACTCTACATCCCATACATAGCAGTAATCAAAGTTTAGTGAGACCAAAATTTTAATATTTCCCTTTATCCCATATCTTTGAGCATTATAGAACAAGAAATTATAACTGAACTTTTCTATACAATAGCAAAGGAATAACCTTTCTTATCAGTTGGCCCTTTACAATCACTGTTGACTTTCAGCAATTGACTCTCCTTCAATGATAAAGCTGATAGCACAAATTTCTACACCGTACGCTACAATGACAGCACAAAAAGTGCAAAGAGAATGAAGATCATGCGAACTTCCTATAAAAAGTTTAACTATATTTCACGGCAAAACATGTAATTAAACAGAAAAAAAGGGGGAAATAGATTGAAGAGGCGGATTACCTAAATCGAGAGAGTCGCGGGAGTTTCAGATCGCTAGACTTTGGAAACAATAGATGGAAAGAAAAAGATCCCCTTTGTTTGGTTTTGATGTACAAAAAGTGGAAGGAAATTTTGGGAGAGAATGACAAAAATGATCCTTTAAATATATTTATGAGCAGTTTTGGTGCTTTAAATTAACCAAAAAGAGTATTTTTGGCCTATAATTCCATCAAATCCACAAAATTAAAACATAAAATTTTACACACCAGAAATAGATTTTGAAGAAAAAAAAAGAAATTGCACCTCAAAAATTTGTACATGCAAAATATAAAAAATTGACCAAAAAAATGAAGAAACTACACCTCAAGATGTGAGCTCATGTTAATTTTTTATATATAATTTTTGCTAAATCTAACAATACAAAGTTGATTTTGATGTACAAAAAGTGGAAGGAAATTTTATGAGAGAATGACAAAAATGATCCTTTAAATATATTTATGAGCAGTTTTGGTGCTTTAAATTAACCAAAAAGAGTATTTTTGGCCTATAATTCCATCAAATCCACGAAATTGCAACATAAAATTTTACACACCAGAAATAAATTTTGAAGAAAAAAAACGAAATTGCACCTCAAAAATTTGTACATGCAAAATATAAAAAATTGACCAAAAAATGAAGAAACTACACCTCTAGATGTGAGCTCATGTTAATTTTTTATATATATTTTTTGCTAAATCTAACAATACAAAGTTTATTAAATATTTGACGTGAGACCACTTAAGTGTTAACTTTTGGCGAACCGAAACTAATCAAAAGTATATTTGAAGGACTTTTTGAATTTACCCTCCATAAAAAAAGGACCATTTTGTCATTTTCTTAACATTTAGGAGAAGAATTTGATGTAAAGAGATTATTTAACAAGTCCTTTATGGCGACACAAGGTGCGGGATCCGCATGATGGGGGAAAGGAATTGCCTAAAACAAAGATACGTAGCCTGATTCCATCTCTTTTCATTGTGTTTGAGCTTTTACCCCAATTTTTAAGTGGATGAGATCGATCGAGTGGTCTCAGTTTGAGACGGAATTGCACGTGTTTATAGATTAAATGTAAGAGCCCAAATAAATTATCTGATTGGGAGTTTTAAGAGCAAATTTTTTCTAGTACCACCAGCGATAAAATGTCCGAAATATATAACTTTATTTGGGACGAAGGTCCGGAGTGAATTAACCTTGTCTGCAGTACCACCTTAGTTTACTAGACCCGAAACTAAAATAAAATAAGACTGTAAATTAATCAGATTGAAGCCTCTTAATTTGGATATCTTTTGATTTTTCTAAATTGTTTTGTCACGACCATATATTTAGTCAACTCTTTCACTTCTTAATTATACTTTTATTCTTGAAGCAGAAAAGATACTACCTTTATTCTATTCATGATCAAGGCAATTTCTTATTAAAAAAATCTCTGGCTAAATTTTACTATATCGAGAATTACTGTTTATTAATTAGATCTGGTTGTGTCAGAAATTACTCGGTTTGAAGATTAAAAACTTCACTGTTTATTAATTCTGGATGTATCGTGACACAAACATAAGTCACTGTTTATTAATTTTGAAGAAATATATTTTATATATGACATTATTCATCAAACAACGACCCCTTACTCGCAATTCAATGGAACTGCGAAAAGAAAGAATATAACATTAAAGGAGATGATGAATGTCCTGTTGATAAGTTCTGGTATAATTTAATCCAGAACTTGTGGGGGAAGCTATTCTTATAGCTAACCAAATACTCAATCGAGTTTCCCATAGCAAAACGCAATCCATTTTATATGAAAAATGTAAAGGAAAGAAGCCCAACTTAAAATATTTTAAAGTGTGGAGGTGCTTAATTAAAGTGCAAGTTCCTAAACCCAAAAGGGTAAAGATCGGACCGAAAATCATTGATTGTGTTTTCATATGTTATGCAATAATAGTTTGGCATATCGTTTTCTGGTTCATAAATCAGAAAATTTCGATATTCATATTAATACGGTAATCGAATCAGATAATGCTGAATATTTTGAGAATATTTATCTATATAAAAATGAATATAAGTCGTCTAGTGAAATTATCTAAGCGACCTTGAGAAGAAGCAAAGGAAAGTGCGTTGAATTAGGAAAATCCTAGACGTAGTAAATGTCAAAGGATAACTACTTCGTTTGGACCAAATTTTCTGACATTCTTGTTGGAAAATGAGTATCAAAGTTTAAAGAAACAATGTCTTTCTTGGAAGCACAATATTAGAAAGAGGCACTCAATAGTGAGATAGAATCCATATTAAGTAACCATACTTGGTAATTGGTTGATCTTCCTCCAGGAAATAATCCTTTGGGTTCTAAGTGAATTTCTGTCACGACCCAAAATCCCACCACAGGCGTCGTGATAGCACTTAGTCTCTAAGACTAGGTAAACCGATTACAATTACATTTCGAACCATTTTTTTAAACATATAATTTAATACAAGTGTCGAAACCAAAAGCGGAAATAAATATAAAAACCTCCCAAGACTGGTAATACTGAGTCACGAACTCTAACTGAGTACATGCAGTGATCCCAAGGATCGAATATACAATATTGTTCGAATAAGAGTGGACAGTACAATAAAAATGGAAAGACTCCAAGGGACTGCGACGACCAAGCAGCCCTACTTTGAATCCTTGCGATTATACTCTAATCTCTGTCTGAATCTGATATCTCCACCTGACTCTGCACAAAAATATGCAGAAGTGTAGTATGAGTACATCACAGTCGGTACCCAGCAAGTATCAAGACTAACCTCGGTGGAGTAGTGACGAGGTACATTCAAGACACTCACTAGTCATTTAACCTGTGCAATATAGTAATATATAGGGATAATAGAAAACAAGTAGAAGTGACGGCAACAAAGATCAATCAAGGATGTGAATAACAAGGCAACAAGAACACCATAAATATTGCTCAAACGAATAAGGAACACAAGTACAACCAATTAATCAAGTCCTTCAAATATAAATCTTTCACATATAAGTTTTTCAAATAAAAATCTTTCGAATATAATTCCTTCAAATAAATATCCTTCGAGTATAATTCTTTCAAATAAAAGTCACCCATGTGATACCTTAAATCATAAAATATGGGTCTCAGCCTACTTTCATATTTTCACGGCACATCGTGCCCATATCTCTATTACAACCTCACGGATAACTCACGTACCAAAATATCAGCGTATATAAGATCCGCAGGATCAATTTATTTTCAATAAAGTAAGTTTATAATTTTTAAACCAAGTAAGAAATCAACAAAGAAATTAGTTTATTTTTGAACTCGTTTGGGTGAAGAAAATGATACTTCAATTAAAATGAAGCATCTGATAGCTACAGATTTGGATGTAAAATTTATTAAATTAAAACATAATAGCAATTTCTTTTATTCGAAATAACTCAAACCTCGAAATCCAATAAAAACCAGAAACACAAATCCTCAGAGTCTTGTACAAAGAGCCAAAGCCAACACAATATAACAAGGAATACAAAACACATAATAAAATTAAATAATACATCACGGAAGAACACAAGAATTTATATATCACGGAAAAATAAAATAACCAAAGGCAAGTGCATCCATAGAGAAATATCAACAAAGGGCACTTCAGAGGTACCGCCTCGTAGTCCCAAATCATAAATAAATTTCAACAAAGGGAACTTCTGAGGTACCGCCTCGTATCCCCAAATTATAAATAAATTTCAATCTTTCCTTATATCACTGCGGGAGCCTTCACAATTAGTTTTAAAATTATTTTTTTTCGAAATAGTATCCCGCATTTTAGCCACCCTTATCACACTGCATGGCTTCTAGTAATTCCCCTACTAGCCACGCGTATCAAGCCCACACCTTATACCACCGCATGCGTTTCAACACCCACACCTTATACCACCGCATGCGTATCAATATCACAATATATTACAATTCGCACCTCAAGTGCCCGATTATCACAGCAGAACATAATTTGCACCTCAAGTGCTCAAATATCACAACATATTATAAATTGCACATAAAGTTCTCAAATACCAAAACATATCACAAATTGCACCTCAAGTACTCAAATATTACAACATATCACAAATTGCACATCAAGTGCTCAAATATCAAAACTTACCACAGAAATCAACAATACATTATTTTCCACAATAAGGAGCCCATGACTCGACTATAATGTGCACAAAATCTTAATAAAAATATCCGGGAGTGAACAACTCAACAAAATAATATTTCACAATTTAATACTTTGCCTCAATATGATTTACGGTCTTTATAACTCAATACTAATTTCAACAACATGAACTGGAAAGTAATTCATCAAGGAACAACGCCTTCTTTAATCCAATTTTTTGGCAAATAGATTAATGCTTCCTTTTAAATTTATTTAATAAATTATTTACAAATGAATAATCCATAATAAAATTATCTGCAGAAAATATCAACTCAATAAAAATACGGGATTCACATAAAAATCAAGGTGGCAATCACATCAAATTATCATATAAAGACAAATTTAACAAACAAGTATTTACTATGTTCCAATAATTTTTCAGTTTAATACATAAGGGCGTCTATGAATATCAACCAATGTAATTTGTACATATAAACTAAGTATGTACTCACCTCGCGTACATGATTTTTAATTACACAATTTTCACATAAAACTCAATGCCTAAGGGGTAAATTTTCTCACTCAAGGTTAGGCAAGATACTTACCTTTTTGAAGTTAGGAAGATATTCCAAAATAGCTTTCTTGCGTGAAATGACCTCCGGACGGCTCAAATTTAGCCAAATAAATTATATAACTTCATTAAAATTCATCGAAAATAAATTCTGGATAATAAAACGTCGACTTAAAAATTCACATTAAAAAGTCAATCAAAAGTCAACGCGGGGCCTACCTCTGGGAACCCGACAGAATTTGTACGAAATCCGAACACCCATTCCGATACGAGTTCAACCATACCAATTTTATCACATTCTAATAACGAATCGACCTCAAAATCCTCAATTTTAAAGTCTATAAAATTTCTACCATTTCCAATCCAAAATACTAATTTAATAATAAAAATAATAATAAATTCGGGTAATTTAACC